TCACAGGTTCGAATCCGGGTAGCGGCGTGAGCTTCTGCTGTCATCCCCAGCTCCTGCCAACCTAGCAGTTCGAAAACATGCCAATGTGAGTAGATCAATAGGTACTGCTCCGGCGGGAAGGTAAGGGTGCTCCATGCCAAGGTCATGTTGGCCACATGACCTTGGAGGTGTCTATGGACAACGCCGGCTCTTTGGCTTAGAAATGGAGATGATCACCAGAGTCCCAGAGTCGGATATGAGTGGACTTAATGCCAGGGCAAAACCTTACCTATTATTATTATTATTATTATTATTATTATTATTATTATTATTATTCCGTGACTCCTTCCACAACCTTTGTTTATTTATTTATCCAACACAACTTCAGATATACAATCACAAAACAGTATTATCCTTCATTATTATTATTATTATTATTATTATTATTATTTGGAGCCCCGAGTGGCGCAGAGGGTTAAACCCTTGTGCTAGCAGGATTGAAGACTGACAAGTCACAGGTTTGGATCCGGGGAGAGCGCAGATAAGCTCCCTCTGTCAGCTCCAGCTCCCCATGCTGGGACATGAGAGAAGCTTCCCACAAGGATGGTCAAACATCAGAAACATCCGGGCAACATTCCCTGGGCAACATCCTTGCAGATGGCCAATTCTCTCACACCAGAAGCGACTTGGAGTTTCTCAAGTTGCTCCTGACACGAAAATATTATTATTATTATTATTATTATTATTATTATTATTATTATTAGGAAAGTTGCAGGGTTCACGGGGGGTGTCAGAGGGATTACCAAAGACCACCTGGAAACACAGCATGTCCTGATGTCCTGTTGGTCCTGGGGGTTTCTGTGTGGAAAGTTTGGCCCAATTCTATCCATTCTGGGTGGGTTCAGAATTCTCTGATTGTAGGTGAACTATAAATCCCAACAACTACAACTCCCAAATGTCAAAGTCCACCAGTTTTCACATTTTACCATATTGAATATTCATGCCAAGTTTGATCCAGAGCCAACATTGTTTGAGTCCATAGTGCTCTCTGGATGGAGGTGAACTACAACTCCCAAACTCAAAATCAATGCCCACCAAACCCTTCCAGTATTTTCTATTGGTCATGGGAGTCCTGTGTGCCAAGTTTGGTTCAATTCCATCATTGGTGGACTCCAGAGTACTCTTGGATTGTAGGTGAACTATAAATCCCAGTAGCTACAACTCCCAAATGCCAAGATCTATTTCCCTCAAATTCCACCAGTGTTGACATTTGGGCATATTGAGTATTCGTGTAGAGTTTGGTCAAAATCCATCATTGGTTGAGTCCACGGTGCTCTCTGGATGTAGGTGAACTACAACTCCCAAACTCAAGGTCAATAAGTAGTATTTTCTATTGGTCATGGGAGTTCTGTGTACCAAGATTGATCCAATTCCATTGCTTGGTGGAGTTCAGAATGCTCTTCGATTGTAGGCGAATTATAAATCCCATATATGATAGGTGAACTACAACTCCCAAACTCAAGGTCAATGCCCACCAAACTCTTCCAGTATTTTCTATTGTTTATGGGATTTCTGTGTGCCAAGTTTGGTTCAATTCCATCGTTGGTGGAGTTCAGAATGCTCTTTGATTGTAGGCGAACTATAAATCCCATATATTATAGGTGAACTACAACTCCCAAACTCAAGATCAATGCCCACCAAATCCTTTCCGTATTTTCTCTTGGTCATGGGAGTTCTGTGCGTCAAGTTTGGTTCAATTTCATTATTGGTGGAGTTCAGAATGCTCTTTGATTGTAGGCGAACTATAAATCCCAGCAACTACAACTCCCAAATGTCAGGATCTATTTTCTGCAAACTCTACCAGTGTTCACATTTGGGCATATTGAGTCTTCGTGTAGAGTTTGGTCCAGATCCATCGTTGTTTGAGTCCACAGTTCTCTCTGGATGTAGGTGAACTACAACTCCCAAACTCAAGGTCAGTGCCCACCAAACCCTCCCAGTATTTACTATTGGTTATAGGGGTTCTGAGTGGGAAGTTTGACCCAATTCTACTGTTGATGGGGTTCATAATGCTCCTTGATTGTAGGCGAACTATAAATCCCAGCAACTACAACCGGGATTGATAGTCAATAAATAAATATGTAAATAGAATTGATAGTTAATAAATAAATAAATATGTAAATAGGATTGATAGTTAATAAATAAATAAATATGTAAATAGGATTGATAGTTAATAAATATGTAAATAGAATTGATAGTTAATAAATAAATAAATATGTAAATAGGACTGATAGTTAATAAATAAATAAATATGTAAATAGGATTGATAGTTAATAAATAAATATGTAAATAGAATTGATAGTTAATAAATAAATATGTAAATAGAATTGATAGTTAATAAATAAATAAATATGTAAATAGGATTGATAGTTAATAAATAAATATGTAAATAGAATTGATAGTTAATAAATAAATAAATATGTAAATAGGATTGATAGTTAATAAATAAATATGTAAATAGAATTGATAGTTAATAAATATGTAAATAGAATTGATAGTTAATAAATAAATTTGTAAATAGAATTGATAGTTAATAAATAAATAAATATGTAAATAGGATTGATAGTTAATAAATAAATATGTAAATAGAATTGATAGTTAATAAATAAATAAATATGTAAATAGAATTGATAGTTAATAAATAAATATGTAAATAGAATTGATAGTTAATAAATAAATAAATATGTAAATAGGATTGATAGTTAATAAATATGTAAATAGGATTGATAGTTAATAAATCAATGTTTTTGGAGCAGCAGCAGCAGCATCAGAAAAGCGCTCCTGTCCCTTTAAATCCCCCCCTCCCACGTGCCGTCTGGTTGTGCTGGAGACGGTGACGCACGCGTGACGTCAATGGGCGCTGGGGCAGAATTTAGACTCCGGGAGGGGAGGGGGGAGGGAGAGTGACGTCACCTGATTTGCATTTAAAGGGACAGGCTCATCTATTTTTTTCCAAAAAAAAAATCAGAAAAAAATGGATTTTTTGGTGTTTGTCTTTGTGGAAAATAAACAGAAAGTCTGGAAAATAGAAATCTCAAGTGTTGTCTTTGGATGCCTGAGTTTGGGAAAAGGTGGAAAAGGTCTGGATTTCCTGCCATTGGAAAGAATAGTAAACATGGTGTCCTTCCGCCAAAAGAGAGTCAAAGAGTCCCTGGGAAAAAAAGGGGAGTCACGTGACCCAGTGACATTGGCGTGGGAAAAAAAATAGTCAAAATTAATAATTAATAAATAAATAAAATACAATAATTAATAAAAGTAAATAAATAAATAGAACATAATAAATGCAAGAAAAAAAGGAAGAGGAATAATCAAGAACAATTAATAAAATACACTAAGAAATAAGAATAAATAATAAGCACAAAGTCTAAATAATAATAATTAATAATAAATAAAATACAGTAAGTAATAAAAGTAAATAAATAAATAGAACATAATGAATAAATAAATAAATAGAACATAATAAATGCAAGAAAAGAAAAAGAAAAGGAAGAGGAATAAATAATAATAATAATAATAATAAATAAAATACAGTAAGTAATAAAAATATAATAATAGCCACAGTCATAAATAATAAAAATAAGAACATAATAATTGCAAGAAAATAAAGAATAACTGGGAATGATATTAATAATAACAATACAAAAATAAATAAATAATACGAAATAATAATAATAATAATAATAATAAAAATGAAATACAATAATAAAATTATAACAATAAGCACAGTCATAAATAATAAAAATATAATATACCTGGTTGGGAATTATATATATATATAATATACAATATATGGCTGGGAATAAAAAATAATATAGAATAATCTATATATAATTTATATGTAATATACAATATATGGGAATAAATAATAATATATATAACCTATATATAATAGAATATATATGTAATATACAATACATGGTTGGGAATAAATATATATATGGCGAAATATATATATATATATATATATATAATCTTTATATAATATGATATATATTTATCATACAATATATGGCTGGAAACAAATAATAATAATAATAATAATAATAATAATAATATATACATAATATACAATACATGGCTGAGAATAAATAATAATAATATACAATCTATAAAATATATATGTAACATACAATATATGGCTAGGAAGAAATAATAATAATATATAATTAATATATAATATATGGGTTGGAATAAATAATGTATATATGTAATGTATATATAATATAATATATATGTAATATACAATACCTGGTTGGGAATAAATCATAATAATAATATACAATCTATAAATAATATAATATATATGTGTGTGTGGTATGTGTGTGTGTGTGGTGTGTGTGTGTGTGGTGTGCGGTGTGTGTGGTGTGTGTGTGTGTGGTGTGCGGTGTGTGTGGTGTGTGTGTGTGGGGTGTGTGTGTGTTTTTCTGCACCATTATATATATATAATCTATATATAACATACAATATGTACACACACACAGAACCCCCCCATGTATATATGTGTGTGTGTGTGGTGTGTGTGTGTGGTGTGTGGTGTGTGTGTATGTGTGGTATGTGGTGTGTGTGTGTGGTGTGTGGTGTGTGGTGTGTGTGTGTGTGTGTCAACCCATGTGTGTGACCCCCTGTTGTGTGTGCGCGGCCCCTTTAAGGCTCCCCAGGCGCGGATGGATCCGCAAAGCGACGCAGCGTCCCCTTGATGGATGTGTGGGTGGGCGGGGCGTGCTTTGGCCCCGCCCCGCGCCCCTTCTGCGCCTCCTGATTGGCCTCCCCTCCCGTCCCTCCCCCAGGAAGCCCCGCCCTCCGCAGCCCCAGAAGAAGCAGCAGCAGCAGCAGCAGCAGCAGCAACCCTGGCTGGGCTCGGCGCCTCCCTTTCCTCCCTTTGGGTTTCCAATTAGCAGGCTGGGCTCATTAATTAAGAGGAAGGGGCGCCAAAGGGAGTCCGGGAGGGGGCACTTGGGGGCTGTGTTGTGGGCCAGAGGGGGGGGGCCACTTGGGGGCTCTTAAAGAGACAGGGACCTCTTTTGGATTCCGAGCCCCCTTTAAGAAGCCAGAGCCCAAGGTAAGCCAGGAAAACACCCACCTCTGGGTTGGATTGTTTGCTTGCCTTGTTTACTTGTTTGTTGAGATGTTCAGCCTTTATCATCATTATTTTGCATTATTATTGTTTTGCATTCTTATTTTTTGCATTGCTATTATTTTGCATCATTATTTTGCATTATTATTTTGCATTATTATTATGCATTCCTATTTTTGCATTATTATTATTATTATTATTATTATTCTGCACTATTATTTTGCACTATTATTTTGCATTATTATTATTATTATGCATTCCTATTTTTGCATTATTATTATTATTATTATTCTGCACTATTATTTTGCATTATTATTTTGCATCATTATTTTTCATTATTATTATTATTATTTTGCATTAGTATTTTTGCATTATTTTGCATTGTTATTATTTTGTATTATTATTTTGCATTACTATTTTTGCATTGTTATTATTTTGCATCATTACTTTTCATTATTATTATTATTTTGCATTACTATTTTTGCATTGTTATTATTTTGCACTATTATTTTTGCATTATTGTTTCGCCTTATTATTTTTGCATTATTATTTTGCATTATTGTTTACATTCTTGTTATCATTGCTGTGTTTGCATTAGTACTATTTTGCATTGTTATAATTTTGCATTATTATTTTGTATTATTTTTGCATTATTACTTTGCATTATTGTTTGCGTTCTTGTAATCATTGCATTAGTATTATTTTGCATTATAATTTTCATTATTATTTTGCATTATTATTTTTGCATTGTTATTACTTTGCATTATTGTTTAAATTCTTGTAATCATTGCATTAGTATTATTTTGCATTATTATAATTATATTTCATTATTTTGCACTATTATTTTACTTTATTATTTTTGCATTGTTATTACTTTGCATTATTGTTTGCATTCTTGTAGTCATTGTTTTTGCATTAGTATTATTTTGCATTATTATATTTTTTCATTATTATTTTTATTATTATTATTGCATTGTTATTACTTTGCATTATTGTTTGCATTCTTGTAATTATTATATTTGCATTATTATTTTTGCATTGTTATTATTTTGCATTATTATTTGCATTCTTGTAATTATTGGGGTTTTTTTTGCATTGTTATTATTTTGCATTATTATTTGCATTCTTGTAATTATTGGGTTTTTTTTTGCATTATTATTATTTTGCATTATACTATAGTATTCTTATTATATTCTTACCATTCCTATATTATTGTTGAAGGATTCCTATATTATTATTGTGACATTCTTGCTATAGTCTTACTATTACTATATTATTCCTACTATGTTATCGTTACATTTCTACTATTACTATATTATTATTATTACTATATCTTTCTTTATTATTGTTTTATTATTATTATGTTCTTACTATTTCTTTATTATAATTATATTTTATTTTTCCTATATTATTATTATTATTAATAAGTGCTAATTAATATTGCATGCAATTAGAGTTGCGAGGAGGCAAATAAATAAACTAAGGTTAAGATGAGGTACGTTTCCTGGGCAGAATAAAAGCATAATAATAATAATAATAATAATAATAATAATAATAATAATAATAATAATTGATAAGAATGATACGAAATGCAGCATATATCTCATGTTTGCTGTGACGTACTGTGGTCTTGTGTCAGCAAAATAATAATAATAGTAATAATAATAATAATAAAGTAATAATAATATAATATATTATTGAAAGATTTTAATAGCGATTGGGAAGATCCTAAAGAGAAATAGGGAAATGGACAAGAAACTCAAACTTATTATTATTATTATTATTATTATTATTATTATTATTATATTTGTTTATGCCCCCCTTTTTCTCTCCACAAATTCTGTATAGAAACATCTGGCGGAATAATATTACTTATTATTATTATTATTATTATTATATTTGTTTATGCCCCGTTTTCTCTCTCCACAAATTCTGTATACTAAACATCTGGCGGAATAATATTCTATTTATTATTATTATTATTATTATTATTATTATTATTATTATTATTATTATTATTATATAAACACCTAGTAGAAGAGGACTATAGGTTCCTTATGTTTTCCCCTCCTAGCCAATTGCCGTACCTATTGATCTACTCACACTTGCATGTTTTTGAACTGCTAGATTGGTAGAAGCTGGGGCTGACAGCGGGAGCTCACCCTGTCTTGCGGATTTGAACTGCTGACCTTCCAGTCAGCAGGTTCTGGAGCTCAGCAGTTTGACCTGCTGTGCTCCCGCGGCCCCCATACATTATATTATGTTATTATAACATAATGTAATACAATATAATACTAATAATAATAATAATACAATATTATAATTATATATTTTATATTACATGTAATATTACTAATATTACAATATAATGTAGTACAATATAATAATATATAATATCGATATTGTACTATGCTAATAATATAATATATTGTAGATATATCTTGTAAGCTGCCTTCGGGGTGAGAAGGGCGGCATATAAATATCGTAAATAAATAAAATAATAATGATTTTATTCTATTATTATCTATTATTACTATTAGATTAATATGATACATTATTGTTATTGTTATGCATTGAGAAGGGCGGCATATAAATATCGTAAATAAACAAATAATAATAATAATTTTATTCTGTTATTATTATCTATTACTATACTAATATGATATTATGCTAATATTATTATATGATATGATATACTAATATGATATTATTACTTTATTGTTATGCGGTGAGAAGGGCGGCATATAAATATCATAAATAACTAAATAATAATAATTTTATTCTATTATTATCTATTATTACTATTATACTAATATGATACATTATTATTTTATCGTTATGCGGTGAGAAGGGCGGCATATAAATATCGTAAATAATAATAATAATAATCTTATTCTATTACTATTAGATTAATATGATACATTATTGTTATTTTATTATTTGGTGAGAAGGGCGGCATATAAATATCATAAATAAATAAGTAATTATTATTTTATTCTATTATTATCTATTATTACTATTAGATTAATATGATACATTATTGTTATTTTATTGTTATGCATTGAGAAGGGCGGCATATAAATATCATAAATAACTAAATAATAATAATTTTATTCTATTATTATCTATTATTACTATTATACTAATATGATACATTATTATTTTATTGTTTTGTGGTGAGAAGGGCGGCATATAAATATCATAAATAATAATAATAATATTTTTATTCTATTATCTATTATTACTATCATACTAATACGATACATTATTATTTTATTGTTATGCGGTGAGAAGGGCGGCATATAAATATCGTAAATAAATAAATTATTTCATTCTATTGGATTAATTATTGTTATTTTATTGTTATGTGGTGAGAAGGGCGGCATATAAATATCGTAAATAAATAAATAATAATAATAATTTTATTGTATTATTATCTATTATTACTATTAGATTAATATGATACATTATTGTTATTTTATTGTTATGCATTGAGAAGGGCGGCATATAAATATCGTAAATAAATAATAATAATAATTTTATTCTGTTATTATCTCTTATTACTATTATACTAATATGATACATTATATTATAATTATACTATAATTATAATTATAATATAATAATTATAATTTAATAATAATATAATTATAATAATATAATTATAATACAATTATTGTTATTTTATTGTTATGGAATGAGAAGGGCGGCATATAAATATCGTAAATAAATAAATAAATATTATTTTATTCTATTATTATTATCTATTACTACTATTAGATTAATATGATACATTATTTTATTGTTTTGCGGTGAGAAGGGTGGCATATAATCTAATACTAAAAATAGATGATAATAATAATAATAGAATAAATAATAATAATTTATTTATTTATGATATTTATAAACGTAAATAAATTATTATTATTTTATTCCATTATTATTATATATTATTACTATTATATTAATATGATACATTATTGTTATTTTATTATTATGTTATTTTATTCTCTTATAGTAAGATATATTTCTTACCTGTCCACCCGTGATATCTTTCAATCCTGTGGCTGGATGTCCATCTGTCGGGAGGGATTGGATTGTGCCTTCCTGATTATTATTATTATCTATTACTATTAGATGAATATGATACATTATTGTTATTTTATTCTCTTATATCAAGATATATTTCTTATCTGTCCACCCGTGATATCTTTCATGCCTGTGGCTGGATGACCATCTGTCGAGAGGGATTGGATTGTGCCTTCCTGTCAGGAACGAGGCCGGTCTAGATGGCCTTTGGGAGCCCCGTCTGTGTTTTGAATGGGAGGCTTCTTTCTAGGTCTATATTATTGTTGTTGTTCCGAATATGATTCATCTCGGCGGGGCTTCTCTTCCCTTTTTTACAGGCTGCAAAATGTCCCCGGGGCAGAAGGCGGGCGAGTCCAGCCGCGGCCACAGCAACGGCCAGAGGGTCCCCTTCGGACACTGCAAGGAGAAGCCTTCTTCAGCCTGAAGGCCAAGCCTCACGGTCAGTGGCCGGGGATTGCGTCCGTATTTTGGGGAGGTTATAGGCACGGTTTGGGGGTGGGGTACCACCACGGAACCCAGTAATGGAGGACCAACCCATGCTTCCGAGGGGGGAATTGATACTAGCATTCGCATTATCATCCTATATTATATGTTACGTTGTTGTTTGTTTATTTATTTATGCTGCCCTCTCTCAGAGTGGCTTACAAGGCATAGTAATAATAATAATAATAATAATAATAATAATAATAATAAATTATATAATAATTATACCCATATTTCCGAGGCGGGTATTAATATTAGCATTCGCATTATCATCCTATATTATATGTTATGTTGTTGTTTGTTTATTTATTTACTTACCGACGACATTTATACGCTGCCCTCTCTCAGAGTGGCTTACAAGGCATAGTAATAATAATAATAATAATAATAAATAATTATATGATAATTATACCCCTACTTCCGAGGGGGGTATTCATATTACCATTCCAATTACCATCCTATATTATATGTTATGTTGTTGTTTGTTTGTTTGTTTATTTATTTACATTTATATGCCGCCCTCCCTCAGAGCGGCCTACCAGTAATATGTAAATACAATATATTTTATTATTACCATAGCACAATATTATATATTACTATATTGTCCTATACCGCTATACTGTAAATATTATTAGTAATATTACATGTAATATGAAATGTACAATTATAGTATCCTATTATTGTTAGTAGTATTATAGTGTATCACGTTACAATATTATCAATATCATATGTATACACAATATATTATATTTTTAGCACAGTTGTTATTATTACCATACATTATTTATTTTATTTTTTAATTTATTAGAGTTATATATTTTATGATAATTATTATTTGGACGCTGTTTGGGGGTACCGTGGAACCTGAACATTGAGGTCTCACCCTACCGAGGGGGGTATTAATATTATTATCATCATATATTATATGTTGTTGTTAATGTTATTATTACCATCCATTATTTTTTTATTTATATCAGTTATATATTTTATTATTATTACTATTAGCCGTTCCCTGCCACACGTTGCTGTGGCCAAGTCTGTGTGTGTGCGTTTTGTGTGCGTATATTTGTGTATATGTGTATATATGTAGTTTTGCGCATGCGTTGTAATGTCCATGAAGCTTTCAGGTTAATAAACTGCATTGAACTGACATTTTCCCTTGGTTTGCAAGAAGCCTAAATACCTTTCTAACATGAAAACATTTCATGAAATCATTGTGATGACCGTTCACCGAGCTGGCCTCTCATCTGCCGGCCAGGCGAGAACTCCGCCTGACCCAGAGATCAAGACAAGCTTATTATTATTATTAGCCGTTCCCTGCCACACGTTGCTGTGGCCCGGTCTGTGTGTATGTGTTTTGTGTGTGTATATTTGTGTATATGTGTATATATGTGGTTTTGCGCATGCGTTGTAATGTATTTTTTATTTTTTGGCTTTTGAAGTCTTTTCTGCTATGTTTTTCAGTGTTTTTATGGGTGATGGTCACTCGTTGGACTAATAGGTGTCTTGTGCCCAAATTTGGTGTCAATTCGCCCAGTGGTTTTTGAGTTACGTTAATCCCACAAACGAACATTACATTTTTATTTATATAGATTTGGATGAATTATGGGGGTCTCATCCCACTGGGGGGGAATAATAATAATAGCAATATTATAATAATAATAGCAATCAACAATGTCATCAGCCAACAAAAAATAACAAAGCCAGCGGACCTGATGGGATCCCTGCTGAAATCTTTAAAGAGGGAGGACCCAAGTTGACACAACTCCACCAGCTCATTGAAAAAAATGTGGGTGACCGAGAAAATCCCAGCAGATTTCAAGGATGCCGCCATCATCACCCTTTTCAAAAAAAAAAAGAGGAGGGGAGAATAGCATTATTATTATTACTATTAATAGTAATAATCATAGCAGTACCAATTTCATTATTATTATTATTATTATTATTATTAATAGTAGTAATAATAGCAGTAGCAATTGTTGTAGTAGTAGTAGTAATAACAACCCCTTCTGCATTCGAGGTAATAATATTACTATTATTGCTGTGATAGTATAATATTGAAATAATAGTATTGAAATAATTATTATTTGGAACACAACAAGATGAGTACACGGCAAACAAGGTCACTCTGCTGGCTTTTGTATCGGATGACACGTCCAACACTTTCCAAGCGTCTCGGACTGTGTGATGTATTTTTGTCGGCGCTGATTGTTTTTAAGTACAGGCCAAGGTCCTTAGGTACTGCACCAAGTAATAGTATTATTATTACTACTATTATTATTTCTGTCCAAAAAAACCTAAGAAACACCCATACCATTGAATCTCTCCCAAATCAATGCTAGAAGCCCTTCCCTTTGAGGCTGAGACAGTGTGACCCCTCGGGCCTTTCCCACGGGTTTTGAACCCGGTTCGAGCCTGACGCCGAACGAGCCCCGTTTTACGGCTCTTCCCCAAATGTAGGCCAAGCTTCCCATAAAAGGCGTATTTATAGCCCTTTTCGGAGACGGAGGAGCCTGCGTGTTTTTTTTTATGGGGGCGACGCGTGTGCGGACGTGTGTGGAGACACGCATCCGGCGCCATCAGGAAAAGGGGTGTTAGTATGTTTCAAAGGAAGAAGAAGGGGTGGGCTAGGTGGCCTTGAGGGGCCCCTGCGAACCTCCTCATGCATCTCCGGCCAATAATAATAATAATAATAATAATACATAGCTGCTTTGAGTCTCTTTTGGGGAAAGATACAGCAGGGTATAATTCAACATAAACATGATGATGATGATGATGATGATGATGATGATGATGATGAGGATAGTGATATAGTATACTATAATATATTATTATAATTATATAAATAAAAATGTAATGCAATGTCGTTGTGTGGTGGAATTGTGTCAGCTCAGGTCCTCCCACTTTAAAGATTTCAGCAGGGATCCCATCAGGTCCGCTGGCTTTGTTATTTTTCGTTGGCTGATGACATTGCTGATTGCTATTATTATTGTAATATTGCTATTAATATTATTATTATTACTATTCCCCCCCCCCCCCCGGTGGGATGAGACCCCCATAATCAGGCTACTTCATCCAAATCTATATAAATAAAAATATAATGTTCGTTTGTGGGATTAAAATAACTCAAAACCCACTGGACGAATGGACACCAAATTTGGACACAAGACACATTTCAGGCCAACGAGTGACCATCACTCATAAAAACACTGGAAAACACATTACAACGCAATAAAAAAACACATTACAACACATGCACAAAACCACATATATACACAAATACACACAAAACACATGTACATTGACTGGGCCACAGCAACGTGTGGCAGGGGACGGCTAATAATAATAATAAAATATATAACTGACGCTACAGCACATGCGCAGAACCACATGTATACACATATACACAAATATATACACACAGAGATACACGCAAAACACATGTACACAGGGCCACAGCAACGTGTGGCAGGGGACCACTAATAATAATAATAAAATATATAAGTGATGCTACAGCGCATGTACAGAACCACATATGTACACATATACACAGATATACACACACAAAACACATATCCACAGACGGGGACCTTAGCAACGCATGGCAGGGGACGGCTAGTAATAAATAAAAATAAATACACACACACATATATATATATATACACACACACACACAAATATATACACACAAATATACACACACAAAACACATGTCCACAGATTGGGCCACAGCAACGCGTGGCAGGGGACGGCTAGTAATAAATAAAAATAAATACACACATACACACACACATATATATATACACACACACACAAATATATACACACAAATATACACACACAAAACACATGTCCACAGACTGGGCCACAGCAACGCGTGGCAGGGGACGGCTAGTAATAAATAAAAATAAATACACACACACATACACACACACATATATATATATATATACACACACACACAAATATATACACACAAATATACACACACAAAACACATGTCCACAGACTGGGCCACAGCAACGCGTGGCAGGGGATGGCTAGTAGTATTATAATATATAATTAAGGATACTGATAGTAATAATAACCAGCAGAGTGAGCTTGTTTGCTGTGAACTAACCTTGTTGTGTTTCAAATAATAGTAATAATAATAATAATAAATTCTAATCTTAATAATAGATCCATTGGCATGGAGAGAGCGTGACCCCCTTCCATAACCAGCAGAGTGAGCTTGTTTGCTGTGAACTAACCTTGTTGTGTTTCAAATAATAGTAATAATAATAATAGTAATAATCTTAATAATAGATCCATTGGCATGGAGAGAGCGTGACCCCCTTCCCAATTATGCCAAGGAGGCTGGGCTTCCTTTTCCTTTTCCTCTTCCTCTTCCTTCCCGACTCTCTTCTCTTCCTCCTTCTGAGCCAATCAGAGGCTGGCAGGGAGCCAGGGCTAAATATAGGGACCGGGAAGAGGCGTGGGAAAAAAAGGCCGATGGGGAAGAGAGGGAGGGCCCCAAAATACCCCAAAATCGGGGAAGTGGACCCGCCTTTCGTGGCATTCCTTGCACGCCTCTCGGAAAGCAGTGGACTGGATGGCCTTCGGGGAGGAAGCAATCATTATTATTATTATTATTATTGTCATTAATATTGTTTTTTCCCATTGCCGCTGCTGCTAAAGGTCATGCAGCTAGGCAGAGGAGGAGGAGGAGGAATTATTATTAGTATTATTATTAGTATTATTATTGCTTCTTCCAATTGCTGATGCTGCTAAATATCATGCTATTAATAGAGATACTATTACTACTACTACTAATAATAATAATATATTATTATTATTATTATTATTACTGTTAGGCAGAGGAGGAAGAGGAATTGTTGTTATTATTATTATTATTATTATTATTATTATTATTATTATTATTATTGCTTCTTCCAGTTGCTGATGCTGCTAAATGTC